TATTTATTTATTTATTTATTTTTTTTGGTCTTTTTGAGACAAGGTCTCCCTGTAGCCTCAGCTGGCCTGGAGTTGCTAATGGACACCAGGCTGGCCTTGAACTCAGAGATCCGCTTGCCTCTGCCTTCCGAGCGCTAGGATTAAAGGCGTGCGCCACCTTGCCCAGCTTATTCTTTATTACTATTATTATTTTATGTGTATGAGTTTATTGCCTGCATGTAAGTGTATTCGTGCCTTTCAGTATCCACGGAGGTCAAAAGAGGGAGTCTTATCGCTTGGAATTGGAGTTACCAACAGGTTGTTAGCCACCATGTAGGCTGAGCAGGCAGTGATGTTAACTGCTGAGCCATTTCTTCCGGCCCGCAGAGGCAGAACTTGTTCACCTCTAGGCTGTAGCTGATACCAAGCCGTCCACCTCTCCTTACTCTTTATACCCTGTAGCAACATCATGGATAATCCAAAGTAGACAATCTTTTCATTTTAAACACTAGCCAGACACTCCCTTTTCAATTCTCCCAAAGGCGTGACCTTCAGAGGAATGGAGTGAAGATGCTGCCTGTCTTGTTGGTTTGTTTATTTGCTTTGTTTTTTAGAACCCCAGTTGTTAATATACTGAAAGTCAGGGTTGAGTGTCCAAGTCAAAAACAATAAAACACTTCACTAAATTGGGGGTTGGAAGAATAGCCAGGCTCTTGATTAATAAGGAGGACTGACATTTGTATAATAGTAACTGTTTACAGAAGACTGTACCTCAGTCATCACATATGATTCTCATGAATCATCCTGGCTGGTGAAAATTGGTCATCTTGGAAATAGCCAAACCTGGATACAAAACACAGCCCACCATGGATTTTTTTCAATTTTTTGAGATAGGGTCTTACTATGTAGTACTGGCTGGCCTGGAACTTTCTATGTGGACCAGCCTGCCTCTGCCTCCAAAGTGGTAGGATTAAAGGGGTGCAACATCAAGCCTGGCCTCAATTTTTCTTTAAGTTTAAAATAGTTTTTTTCAAAAATATTTTTATTATTTTTATTTAATATATATGAGTATCTTGCCTATGTGCATGTAAATGCACCTGTGTTGTGCAAAGGCCATGGAGGTCAGAAAAGGGGGTCGGATCCCCTGGAACTGGAGTTATATAGACAGTTGTTAGCTGCTATGTGGGAGCTGGGAATCAAACCTGCATCCTCTACAAGAGAAGCTAGTGGTCTTAACAACTGAACCATCTCTCCAGGCCCTTTTAATTTTTTTAAATTAAAATTTATTTGTTTATTTATTTGTTTATTTGTTAGTTTATTTATTTATTT